CCCGTGACAATTGCTCCGCAACCGTGATCTCTGCACTTTCAGCTGCTCCCATTTCGTATGTCGTTACTACGGGAATAACTTTTCCTTTCTTTTCTTCTGGTCTGCCATTTTGCTCCATTTTTTCCCTCTTTCTGTCAACTTTCGATCCTGTTTCAAGATTACTTGCTTAGCTCTGAAACATGACCAAACATGAGCAAACCCCGCGTAAACTAGATCCAAGGATGGTGCAAACGCATCAAACGTTACAAGTAAAAGAGGTGAAAAAGTGTGTAATCTAACCCGAATAAAAAATGCAATCCAATCCTCAAATTTTCAACAACGACAACCCGACACGGTCTCCAAGCTCGAAGACCTAGTTACAACCTTTGTGAGTTCAAGTTCTCAAAAGTTTGAGATGACTGAGAAGTTTATGGAAGTTTCAACAAACAAGTTTACCTCGGTTGAGGCGGGTTTAAGAATTCATCAAGAAAGTCTTCAGAACTTGGAGACTCAAATTGAAAGCCTTGCAGAAATGACTCGTCCCGAATACCACAATAATTTCTCGCCTAAGGTTCCAGTATAAACCTCGGGCCGGTCCGTCTACCCCTACTTCAATCATTTGAATCATTATTGACACGCTACGACACAACTCCTAACAATGGCCAAGTGCCCAAGTGTAACCAATGAAAGGGACTGCAATATAGTGGCACAAGTAATAAATATCGAATCCACGGGTCTCTAGAGTTACTATTACTCAGCTTCAATTCATTATCTAGCAAACCAGATTAATGATCGATTTACTAAACTACTCTACTAACTAAACTAAGGCTAAACTACTAATTACAAGTTGGGAACTCACTTAGGTATGATTCCCCCTAGCTCCTCAATTAGTTCCAAGTTGTAATTACCTTTGGTTGATCTACTGTTGATTAAAATGCGGAAGATCCTAAATTAGCTTGGAATCTCTTAAGCTGACCAAGCCCTCTTAGACAGAATACCACGCAGGCGACTAGCGTTCACCGGGATAGACTGCTAAGGCGATTCACACAGATCTCCACTACTAGAATGAATTCCAGTACAAGCAGTGAATTGAATGACTCTCGCACAACCAATTCACTACTATCAATCAAGAAAGCTCTCTTAACCTAATCAGATTCTTTCTATCAAAGGTTAAAGCATAAATCAAGAGAATTTGATCAGGATTCAATTGACTCAATAAATCATGCCTCAATCGATTATAATCATACAATATAGCATCCAAAACTTCATACAAGAAAGATCCTAACACATGGAACTAGGATTCCTCAAAACCTAAGTGAAGGGAAGTTACTCCATAGAGAAGAGAGAGACTGTAGAAATCTTATCTAGATCTTCAATCTCCATCTCCAAGCTTGATCCCGAGCTCCAATGGCGAAGAAATCCTCCAAAATAGCTCCAAGAATGTTCCCAAGTCGCCCTCTCTCTCTAGGGTTCGTCCCTTGGGTGTTTGGGAACCAAAACCCAGCCCTCCCTTTCCTTTGGCTCGAATCTGCCTAAAATACCCGATTCTGGGAGAAATACGGGCAGAAATACGGTCGTAATTCTGCCATGCCCGTATTTTCCCCAAAACACGCGTTTTCGTTAAGTTTCAACGCATCCAAGGCTCCTCTCGGCACTAAAAATACGGGCATGGGATGGAAAAATACGGTCGTATTTCTCCTGCCCGTATTTCTTCCTCCACTTCTGTTTAATGCTTCGTTTCTCCCGCGTCCGGACTCCGAATCAGTCGCCATTTGATCCCAGACGCTTGTAGTCTCGTCCTCTTTCTTTTCATGACAAGCTTCCATGATTTTTTGTCCATCATATGAAGCAGAAATCCATTCTTCCTCAGGTCATGCTCGTGTTTCTTCTCCCAAATTGCCAAATGATCTCCGATTGACTTGAAACTTGCGCCTATTCTTCAATTTACATGCTAGGACTTGAAATGTAACAAATGAACACAACCTAGCGTAAAATAGTTCAAAGAAAGCAAAAAATCAAGCCAAAATGATCAAGAAACGAGGGTGCAAACATGTGCAAATATGACGTTATCAAATTCCCCCACACTTAACCGTTTGCTTGTCCCCAAGCAAACCTGACTCAAACCAATGCAGCTCTCCAGAACTTTATAGAAACATGCAACCACGATTGTCGGTAAAGGATGTTCTAAGTCATTTAGCAGCTGGGGAGGTCAACCGACGCACAAGACACATCCTAACTTCTTCGGTGAGAACGCTATTCTCGAGTCAGTATCATGGCAAATAGTGATCAGAGGACAAATGAATCGTGGACGAAGGGACTCTCAAAAACAAAAGATCATGGACTCACATTTTCAAGGGTTCCAACCTGTTTTTTTTTTCTTCAGAAAACGGGGCTCCCACCTAGCAAAGATTTTGAGGAGCCCGGCTCTTACCGACCATGCGGGGAGCAGCTCTTAACGGCCATGCTGGGAGAGGATGTCTCGAGCCTCGTGCGGGGGAAAGAAATGTAAGGGGGCTGGAGGTAGTAGGTGGAAATTGGGAACGAATTCCCGTCTCCCCTTACACACTTTTGCCCTTTTCGCATGGGAGACGTTATTTTAAAGCACATTTTCGAGCACCTTTTACTTAAAAACATGATACAAGAGTCCATGATAGGTAGAGAGTCCACAATACCACACAATTCAAGGGTCCTAAGATCACTAATTCACACAATCAACCAACACAATATGAAGAAGAAAGGAGACTTCTTAAATGCATCAACATCCTCCATAGTGCTACACTACCTCCCTAGGTTGCATATTACTATAAAGACTGTAAATTCAAAACATACTGAGCAGGCAATTGCAAGCAACACGTGCTTGGAGCCCTCAAATCAAAATTTGGACAGTGGACTAGGCTCCAAGCACACACATTCAACCAAACATTCACACGCATACATAATTGAACATCCCCCCACACTTAAGCACGATATTGCCCTCAATGGAGGAAAGATAAGGAGGGTAGAACGAAGTTACCAGATCAAGGGTGAATGATGGTGGGCGGGGCAGGCGGTGCATTCTAGGAGGAGAGAGTAGTCGAAACACAAACACCACACAAATCTCACAAAGGTTGAGTTATTGACTTTAAAATCAAAGAACAAAACTGATTCAACCAAGGATAAATAGGGAAAGAAATGCAAACCGACTAGTTGGGTTGCCTCCCAACAAGCGCTTCTTTCACGTCGTGAGCCGGACGGTAGCTCCTAAGTTTCGGTCCATGCTAGAACCTCTTTGAAGTTGAGGTTCTCATCTATGGGGTGGAGTCTCAAGTCACGAGCATGTGTGGCAGATGATGAAGGCTCGTGCACTTGATGCAGCTGAAGTCTCCACCCTCGAGACCTCTTCTTCGTTGCTTTTCTAGTCTCATTGCCCCAAACCAAATATAACCGTATCGACTGACCACCATCGCGTCCACCAAGAGGTACCGATGTTGATGTGGCCTTGGTCTAGCAAAGAGACACTGCAAATGGGTCCTTGCTAAGCAGTTCCTCGAAGTTTGGTGGGGATATTACTTGTATTATAGGGCCAGTGCAAGCCTCTTCCCCCTCAATTTCATCCTCGGCCTGGACACCACTCGCTTCTTCAACCCCCCTTCCTTCTTCAAAATGTGGTCTCTCTCCTTGGAAAAGATCAAGAACTACCTCTTCTTTGCTTTCTTCCTCATCCTCCACAACTTCTTTCCTCACCCTTTCTATCTCTTCTTCTTCCATAACGGATTGGAGAGCAAGTCGCCATGCAAGGTTCTCAATAAGTTCAGCTTGCATCTCCTCGCTCGGGCCCAGCATGTCAGAGCGGAAATGGGGAACGTTGTTATCTACCACTAGAGGATACACTTGATCATGATTATCATGGGAGCTTTCTGTGAAAACTTCTGTATGCTCCTCAACATCCTCATGATTGCCTTCTTCTTCCTCCTCCTCTACTTGTATGGCAGCATAAAGGTTTTCTTGAGAAAACTGTGAACAAGCTTTCTCAATGACCTCTATGTGCTTCTTTATGCTCCGAAGGGTTTCCTCTGTTTTACGGGGGAAGGAGAAGTCAGTTTGGGCAATGGCCTGGATATGAGGATCCATCTCGGGAAAGGGTCTCTCAGGTACTCGAGCAATCTGCTCCACGAGAAGCCTCAAGTGATAGTTAGGATCTGGTTGTGGAGTGTAGTATGGCTCTGCCGGATGGCCCGTGAAAGCTGTGGCTAACTCAAGATATGATGGCCCTTCTAGTTGTGGGAGGAATTCTTCTTGATAAGGAGATTGTTCTTGAAATACCTAGGGGTTTGATTATTCTTCGTAGTAGTGGGGTTGGTACTGAAATCCGACTCCATAGTCTTCTCCTCCTTGGTTTCTCTAGGAAGTCTCTGGGTAATACCACTCAGATGGTGGT